GACATAGATCTGCGTAAATTAAGAAAATAAATATTAAAATAGATAAGCATATGATACACATAAATTATATAGAAAATATGCAAAATATACACAATCTATAGGCAAAATATACGCAATCTATACGCATATGATATGCATACTATACGGGATAAGACGGTACGAATACGGTCCGCAGAATATATGCATAATATAAACATAAATCAAGAATTATGTACACTCAAATTAATGAGAAGGCAAGAAATGACAAATCTTTTTTTTTCTTTATTAAAATTTTTTAAAGATCCATAGTATTTATTTTAAAATTGTAGGGTTTAAGCAAAATATACACAGATTATATGCAGAAAACACATAGAAGGTGAAAAATATATAATCTTTTATCGTCTTCAAGATGTTTTTATTTTTGTATGGTTTCTTCAGTAAATACATAGTAAATACCAAAAAAATATGGAGCAGATCCTATCTATTGTACACAATAACGTACCTTTTTTTGCAGGTGACTCCTTTCCCTCCATTTGAGCAGAAGCGAATGCTTGAAGAAAAATGGAGAAGAATTTTTCACAGGAACCTAAGAGAACTGCGAATGCCGGAATTGAAAATAGTTTAGGCGCTTGAAATGTGAAGATTTTTATCCTTTTCATCTTTTACCCTTTATTTAATTTGGGTGGGCGGGTGTCTGTTCTTCTCCAGTCGATCCGAAAAGAGAAACAGGTCGGGTTGCAATTCAAATGTGACTTTTCACGTAAGCATACCACGTGTAAGGATTTTATTAGTATCCGAACATAGCTCTATATCCGGATTCTACACAATAATTTCTCGGAAGGAGTGGTCTCCATGGTCGACCGGACATTGCTAACATGAACGCGTCGGCGACAGAAGTAACCTCCGGCAGATCAGAAGTAACCACGATGACAGAAGCTTGCTTATTCAGCCAAAAGCGACGACAACAAAATAGGGAGCTTTGTTTCGTAGTTCCATTCGTCAAATCCTGTAAATCTACAGAAATTGACGACAACGAAATCGGGTTCAACGAGAGCTTTCAAGATTTCTTCTGTTAACACATTTATTCAGCCAAATCCCGTAAATCTACCGATATCGACTACAAGGAAATCGGGTCCGACGGTAGCTTTGAAGCTTTCTTCCGTTCAAACGTTTAGTCAACCAAATCTCGTAAATCTTTGGATGAATACAGACATGGTCCCGGGTCAACCCATGTTGATTTCGAATTTTCGGGTCAACCCAAATTTGATTATGTTTTACAAATGGATTGAAATTTCTAACTCAAATCAGACCCATTTCTTAAACAGGCTAACCCTAACCCTAAAATTTTGAGTCATGTTCAGGTCGGATTTTTAGATCGTGACAAATATTGACATCACTAAAGATCACCTTGTTGCAAAGCATTATATGAACCGAAAACTTAAAATAATAATAATAATAATAAAAATAGTATGAACCGAAAACGAGTACTTCTGAACCCATTTTCTTGATCCCAGCGGCATTGCATTGATGCGATAGATATTTATATTTTATATTATTTAATAAGGATATTTTGATTTTATATAATTGATAATAGTTATAATATATAAATCAATTTTTTTTTATTATTTCTTGAAAATTCATTTTAAATCATAAAGCTACTGTGATACTTAACTGAAGACTAACGTGAACTTTTGGAAAAGAGCCTACTCGGATATTCCTCTTTTTAGCATCTACTCCATCTCTAATGATCATAGAGATTGAGCGATTGACGATGTAGCACATAGAGCTGGCAATATCACTAAAGTAAGATCATATAAAGCTCAATCCATGAAGGTTTACACCATTTGGTAATGTATTTTTGTATTTTTCATGTCATCAAGTTTTAAAATGTTGTAATTTGCTTTGCTAGTCATCAGTATGTTTAATTTGCTTTACAATGCTTAATATGTTAAGTCCAATGCTTCGTCTGGAACAGCTTTCTTATTTTTTTTATAGTAACTTTTTAATAATTAAAAAAAAAAATTGTACAAGAAAGCTACTTTCTAAAGCAGCAAGAAAGTTATCCTTAATGATGCCTAACCATCCTTAATTTTGAATTTGCATGATGAGATGTGTCTCATTAAGTGATGTTAGTGGTATAAAAAAAAAATCCTTTGGCTATAATTAAAACTTTTTGGTTGCTTGCATATTTTGGAATGAAAAATTCAAGATTTTTGCTGGCTTAGTAGCAAGCCAACCCAAGAGGATTACGAAATCCTTTTAAACCTCTACTTTGGTGAGTAGGGTTTAAATTTTTTTGATTTTTTTTTTTTTTAATTTCAATCCCCCTTTATTGTGTTTTAGTATTAGTTCTCCATCTCAAAGAAACAAAAATCCTTTTTCCTCCCTCAAAACCAAGGAAAATTATTAGGTGCGGAGATCAGACGTCAAACGTAGAGATATACCGGACCTCCACTTAAAATTTAACACGTGAAGTGCACTTTTTGATGCGCTTTACTTGTTTTACCTGCGCTTTAATTACACTTTAGTTGCGCATTGACAGCTCTTTTGTTGCGTTTTCTTACTACATTTTTCCTGCACTTTACTTGCGATTTGACTGTACTTTTGATGCGTTTGACTTAAAGTTCCACAGACACATTACATATATAAAATAAAAAATAAATCCAATTAAATATCCATGTGTCCACCAACATATCAACATTTTATTTGAGTCCGGATGTACCTCTACGTTTAGTCTCCACACTTAATAATTTCTCCAAAATCAAAGTCAAATCCCCCGTGTTAGGGTTGGTCAAATTTTCTAGTTTCACAAGACTTGCTCCACTCTTGAAAGCATTTGCCTAACCTAAACACTATAAAATTCTACCAAAATCTTCAAATCCTTTGTGCACATAATATAATTCAATAAATCTAAATTTATTTGAGCTTGTTCCAGTCAAAATTGTGAAAAACAATTAAATGCTATTCCAAGCGAAATTCTAAAATTCCTCTTGATCCCTATGAAACCCCAACAAAATTTTCAATCTTGATTCATTCTAGACAAAATTGACCCCATATATATATATAGCACATTGGACCTATCAAATCCTTTTCAGTAGAACTATCTTGAATTAAATAAAGAATCCTCAAGTACGAATTAAGTATAACTTCACCTTATTTGAACAATTATATAGAAGATTATGTTTTCAATGATGGCCTACCATCAAAAGTCTATAAACGTTACCGACATTAAATTAACTCCACCAAATTAATCATCACTCTTCTAATTTCTGGAAACTTATTTGTGCTGTGGCTTGTAAAGTCAAGAACAATATTTCTCTGCATATTGACAATAATAGTAGTCTCTCTTTCTTTTGGGATCCCTGGTGTAAGGACAAGGCTATTGCTAAATTTTGTAAATCCTGAGTGTGACTCTTATGTGCCGGTAAAAAAATTTATTCAGCATCAGAATTGGAAGCTTTCTAATGATCTCCCTAGAATTGTCCTAGAGGAGATTCTTAACATTGAAATTGGTAAGCAACTGTCTTTCGATTGGGATGGCTTATCAAAACCGACTAATGATAATTTTTTAGATAACTTCTATAGTTATTTGCCTGAGGTTTCTTGACACAAATACATTTGGTATAAGAAGAACCCTATTCGGTTCTTCATTTTCATCTGGATGACTATTCTGGGTAAGCTTAAATCTGCATATATCTTATTTAAAAGGAATATTATCACTTCTTTAATTTGCAATTTTTGTAATAATGCTCAAAAGTGTCATAGTCACTTATTCTTTGAATGTGACTACTCCTTTATGGTGATTAAAAGTTTTTTTTTTCTTTTTTGAATTCTTTCTACTTGAGGCCGACTCTGTCCAAGCTGATGGAGCATATTGACTTTTATCAAGGTTTTTCTAATATAGAAAAAAAAATTCTGTTACTTAGCTATTTCTGCTGGTGTTTATCATATTTGGATGGAAATAAATAAGAGGCGTTTCTCTAACCAATGGGTCTCGCCTCTGACACTGAGTTTTACTATGAGAAAAGCCATCAAATTGAAAGTTTAAAAATGAGAAATTATGAGGATCTTCAAAAAATTTTTCCTAAAATTATATCTTAATTTTCTTTTCCTATTGTTTTTGCGAGGATTGGGTGATCTGGGCGTTTGCTGGAGGCTATGATGATCTGGATTTTGCTGGGGTATGGCTTCTTTTTTGAAGACACTTGAATGCTTCTATCGCGGGCTGCTTGCTTGATTATAACGGGTGGTTTGCTGCTTGATTGAGGGCTCTTCATTGGTCATCTCAAAGTTTTTTCCATAAAATTTTGTGTTCTTCTGCATATGGGCTTCGACAAGTGATAGTGAATCTACTTCTGAGGAAATTTCATAGTTTTTAATCTGTTTTTTAGCAGACAGTTATTTGATTGTAGCTTTCTCTTTTATCATTCATTCTCTTGAATTGAATGATAAAGTATTTGTTGGTTTTTCCTTTTTTGACCTTGTAATTGTTTCTTTTTCTTTCTTTTTGTTTTCATTAGATTTGTATTCTCTTTTGGTTATTAATAAAAAGGGTTGTGCCCCAAAATTTCGCCCCCCCAAAAAATAAAATCTCTCTTATAATTTTCTTAGAAGAGTCCCTCATCCATTAATTGATAACATAAATTAATTCCAAATTAATCTTTACTTTTTTATTGATTTTTAAAGAGTTTTAGTAAAAAATTAAAATTTTTATACTAAAATTTTATTTTAAAAAGCAATAAAAAAGCCGTCCCAAACGAAACCTTAGCCTTATAAAACATCAACCTTTCAATAACCCAATTTGGAGAGCAGACATTAAATTTAGCCGTGTTAAGAAATATAGACATAGGCCTAAAAACAAAATTGGTTAAAAAGTACTAGAAATGAACTTTGTTTATAAGATTTAAATGAGAATTTCAATCATACTTGTGACACAATATAGATAAATAATTCATGTAATCAATCAACCCCAGGTAGTCAAATAAAGGCATGATTTTATTATTGTTGATATTATTATACAAGACGTATTAAGCAAATCATTCATCAACCATCCCCATCAAAATATCAAAATAAGACCAGATATAATGTAATATTTCTAGTTGTTTTTATCAAAATGTATATATCTCTGCAGAAACTACAAAAGGGTTCTCCCACAGAAGCACAAGAAAATAAGCTCCAACAAGAACAAATTCCAATCGGAAAGCAAAATCAGTTTAGAAACCTCCAGAATGTTCTGGAACAATATGAAATCATGTCCAAATCAAATAGAAAGTAGAAACAAGTGAAATAATGAATCAGAAGACGAACCGAGATGAAGGGAAACGCACATGGATCCACTGCTTCTCATAGAACACTAAATGAGCCCACCCAATTTCCTCGAGCAGATCAATCTTTAGATCATAGAATTTTTTCTTTGGTGGTTCAGATTCATCCTGAATCAAATCGCAAAGGACCTGCCATAATGAACAACGCTTTCATGAGAAATAAATAATTTGAAGCATACCGTTTGTAACTTTATTCATTTACATATTAATAGGTAAATAAATAATACGTCAAGATAAAAAAAATGGATAACTAATATAAGTATGTGAGATTGATTCAGTATAAGCCCAGCAGAAAATTTAACTATCTATGCAAATGAATAGCTTTATAAAATATAATAGCGGAGGCATTATAAACCCAAGCCAAGAACAGCAGCAAAAATGGGTAAACAATCAGATTAGGAATGAATGTTGTACAAAAATATCAAACCATTTGTTTAAGAAACAGGTCGGAATAGATTGGGGAAATTTATAATATCTGGAAAAGCAGGGAGTATCAATTTTGTACGAGTTGCAAAGTTCCAATTTTTTTAATTATGAAACAAAATAAAATCTTCATTGAAAATGTAAGCGGGTTGCATATAGCCAAGAAGCACTGGCAAGTCGCCGATGTTGTTGACATGAGTAATTGCATTGCCAACCACAAGAACTAGTCATAACTATCCGAGCGAAGTGTTGACAGAAGGCACCCTCCAAGTTCGTTCAATTTTGAATTGAGAATCATACAGTTTGACTTTATTGTTGACCTCCACACCGGGACAATTTTTTTTTTTTTTAAATAGCCTAAATTATTACCTTTGCTTGTATCCTACTGCTTTCTTGTAGACCCCTATACCTCAAACCACACGAGAAAGGACCAAAACTGGTGAATAAAGCAATACGCGACTTGGCGCCACATGTCCTTTGAAGGGTCAAACCACCTTTGATTGCCAAACAGACGGCGCTGTTGCGGTCAGGACGTCGAATTCTACTAGGTAGAAGCCCCTCACAATTGAATCGAATGAGATCGGTCAAAAGGGACGACTAACACCCGAAATTAAAGCATGACGCTGATCAAACGACGTCGGATCGATGAACAGACTTCGTCGTTGTGTCCGAAATATTGTCAACCTCTAAAAACTATATTTTGTTTATTCAATTTGGATCATCAGGATTGGTGGCACGAATTTCGAGATGAAAGCACGAATTGCAAGAAAAAGGCTATTCAGCGCTACCCAAACGACATCCGATTGATGAATGGACTTCGTCCTTGCATCCGGAACACCGTCAATATCCTAAATTCACTCTCAATTTGTTTAAATAAGATAGTACATGCAAATCGATACGGCCCCAACCAACATCGCACATTTCAAGAGAGTGCACGCAAATTGAGGACATTTTTTAAATTGATTGACACATTGCTGAATCCTAATTTAATGCTAATACTAATTGTGGCAAGTCATTATTACTGTTGCCCATGAATCTAAACAAAATGGTGAAAAATCATATAAAATTAAATCAAAACAATTAACGCATTATCTCGTAGCAAATCCCGGTGAAAACCTCGGATAATCAACAAGCTGTCTTTTCCCGTAAAACCAGAGACCAACTTCATTTCAAGAGCTTTCACGGATAAGTTTGCCCCCATATACAGCTCTTGCTTCCGGTTATCTAGGCATATGCTCTGTCTTGTTTGCCTCCAGCAAGCTTACTAGGATAAGAGATGAAGCTTCCTCATCTCTTAAGGTCACGAGCTTCTCCAGTTTACCCGCCTCTTCCCTGTTAAATTCCCACAGCTCAACTTCATGACCTGTAGCTTGTCATCTCCTCTCATCCTCTGTTCCAACTTTCTCCCGTCGATCTTCTTCCTCTAGATCAACCACCTAGCCGATTGCATCCATCAGACCGACATCTGCTCTCCCATTTGCAAAGCCCAACCTCTGCATCCTTGTCTCTCTGTCTGTTCACGCCGAGCTACCCAGATCACTATGCCGAATCAGCCACCTCCGTAGCTTGATCGGTTGAGTTCGTACTGGCTTTCAAAGCTTCGACAATTGGAGGTGAAAGTGCCAGAGATTGTGGTAGGATGTAGGACGGATTTGAGGGATGAGCAACAATCTAGCCCTGATCAGGTAGATCCAGGTTTCTGAGCTCTCCTACAGGGGCGGATCCAGCTTCTTTATTTAGGGTGGGCAAAAAAAAAATTTTTTGTGAGGGATGGACAAATATGCTTAGGATTGATAAAAGTATGGCAAAAAAAAATTTTTAGGGGGGGCAAAATGCCCAAAATACCCAAAATATTTCAAAATCTCCCCTCTAAATATTTAAAACTCCCTTTAAATCCCAAATCGGAAAATCATTTTTTTTTTGGGAAATTTACATACATACCACTTTATAACATCTTATTTACATATCTAACACCTAAAACTTTAATATTACATCCATACCACCCTATATTATTTTAATATCAAATATACCACTTATATTTCTTTCCTACCACTCATATTTTGTATGAAAATGAACTATGGGTGGTATTTATGTAATATTAAAGTTTTAGGTGTTAAATATGTAAATAGAATAGTATTAAGTGGTATGTATGTAAAACTCCCAAAATTTTTTTGAGGGTGGGCAAATGCCCACCCTAAGCCATGGGTGGATCTGCCCATGCTCCTACTATGTTCAGAAGGCACTGTAGATCACCGGATTGCCGAAATCCTGCTGAAGCCCATCCAGAAATATGTGCGTACGTTCAGGATTTGGGATGGCCGTGTTGTTCTTCATACTGTTGTTGCATCCAACTTCACCCATATCCTCTCAACCGCAAGACATCTGACTCCACACAGAATCCCTAACCTGCCAATCAGTCCCGAATCTGCCCCTATATCCTATCGCCTGATATTCATGACTGAAGATTTCATCCAACAGATGGAGATTAAAACGCACCATCACCATCTCTTAGAGAAGATCATTGATCAAAGTTTTAAGTCAATGGCCATTGATGAAAGAAGTTTCAACGAGTGCTAGCCATGGGATCTTCCAGGAAAAGTCAATATGGGAGAGAAAGAATGGTACTTCTTTTGCAAAAGGGATAAGAAGTATCTTACAGGAATGAGGACCAATAGATCCACATCAACTGGCTAGTGGAAAGAAATGGGGAAGGATAAGGAGATATTCCAAGGGAAAGGTGTCCTTGTTGGGATGAAGAAAACTTTGGTTTTCTACAGTGGGAGAGCTCGAAGAGGATGAATGGGTTGTTTGCAAGGTCTACAATAAGAAGGATACAAAGATCAGCACAAGACAACAGGAAGTTGCAGAAAGGATGAACAATTCTTTTGTGGATGATTTGTTGGTTGATGACCGTGATCAATTGCTACCTCTTACAAATTCTCCTCTCCTACAATTCAATAAACAGTGACATTAAGGAGGAGGCAAATGGACAAGAAAATGAATTTATTCAGCCATTTTCAACAAAAGGAAAAGGAAGCAATGTTGGGAGCTTCATCTAACTCTAATGGAGATTCTCTTTCCTTGAGGGGAATTGGTGTACAAATAGAGAAGATATCTTGCTCAAACTCAAACTCAGTCTTCAGTGCTTCAATGGATACAATAATGAGCTCAGAAGGGAACATGGAGGAGACTGGGAGCTTTCAGTCATATGAAAACCATCTTTCTCCATGTGTAGAACAAGCGGATTTTGATGGCATTTGGAATAATGGATTGATTTGAGGGCCATTACAAACATAACTGTTTTTTCTTTATCTAGAGACTTCATGTTTATACATGTAGTTACGTTGAGCAATTAATTACATATCAAATGTCAAAGAAAGGGAAACATTATTTAAAAAAAAAAGGAAAAAAAAAAGAAATATTTTTGAGCAATAATCATCACTCGCCATCGCGAAGGTATAAGTTTCAAAACCCCGAGAGCCCACCTTCGATGCTTGCAACACAACAAAACGACCGCCTATACATGCTTTTATTAGCGTGGTGGGAGGAAGTGCGTCGCGATACTCGCGACGATGCAGGTGATTCAAAAAACACATTTCGGCATTCGTGGTGCACCGGAAAAACGCCTATACACACCTTTATTGTGCGAGGTAGGATGAGAACCAGGTGCAACGCCTACGATAAGGCAGGGCCACTTATAAGTACCCTCGAGTGTGGGGAAAGCCAATTGGCCTGGGACTATGAAACCATGGGTTCTTGATCGGGTCTATCATCCATTCCCCCAACATCCACTTTAAGTGCAAAATGGTGAAAATTTCTTATTTTACATATCACATCTCCAAACTCTCCAATTTCCAAACCCTTAACCCATGCTACTACTATATGCCAGATAACACGTATCTCTACGTATCTTATTCATGACTAACCTTAATCGAAAGTTCTCTCTCGTGATAAGGAGTAATTAACTATAGGGGCTTACACCTATAGGGAACCAGAACTCATATCATAGAGTCCTCGCAAAATGAGGGCGAAATCTCTAGGTGTGTCTTATCTAAACACCTCATCTGCCTTTCGAAAATTTATTCTAGAACTTAATTCCATTAAAACTCCCCCGAGAAAAGCAGCGGGGGAGGTCGGGGCCAAATTTTTGGAGCCCACATTTGTATTTATATCTTAAACTACAGGAGCACATCATCAAAGTTCTCAAAATTTATAATTCTAGAACATGATGTTTGAACCTAAATTCAATAAATTTTCTAAGAGTTCATGTTTATTCTCCATCTAGTGATGCTCTTTCCACATTATGTCAGGCTAGTTATCATTCAAAAAAGAAAATAAAAAATAGTTTGTTAGCATTTGAAGTGTTAGTACCCATATATCAAATAAAAGGTTCTCCCTTCACAACATTGGCCTCAATATTAATGTCGGGATCGAGTTGAATATGCACGATGTGTTTTGAAAGCAAAACAAAGTAGCGTCGCACAAAACTCACCCAACAAGTGTTGACCAAAAACCTGAATTATCCAAATGGTCTTCGTGTGCAAAACGGATAGCACCAGGGCGTTCGAGACAACTGAAACAACTAGGATCAACACTCATATATATTGAGATAGTTTATCGGTGAAAATTATAATTTGTACACGTGAAACAAGGCGACTCGGCATAATGACGATAATGATGATGCGGTGACTGAGTCGAGGCATGAT